AAAAAAAAATCAAGTTTTACGTGTATTTTAGATGTAAAATCTTTACAGGCCTTGGTCTAGTACTTAAAATTAATATTAAGAGCTCAAACTTTCAGGGAATTTTTTTTGGTATTCCAATAACATTTCACCATGGGAACGAAAAAAAAAAAAGTTAAAAAAAAGCACCCTAATTTTGTATACAGTACATTTTATGGAGAATTACTATCAGGTAGTGAGTCATACTATTTCAAAATATTATACTCCTAAACGATAATTTTAATTTAGTTCTAGAATATAATTTTTCTATCAAAACTTATGTGTACCCATGCAAATGAGGTTCCTATTTCCGATATTTCAATGCATTTTATTTTTGGGTATTCACATTTTGCTGCGATGCTTTTAACATAGTATATCAAACTTCATTTCATACAAATATACGTGTACACGATGAATCATAAAATATGGAATTTGTTTTTTTAACCAAAGAGAAAAAAAATTATAAAAAAAATTTAATTCAACATTGTGCTGATTTCTTTCCAACACAGTTCATTGATGCTCAACCCCTGATTTAAATACATATTGTATACAACCAGTGACACATTCAATAAAGCAATGTATTTAATGTCTCCCATACTATCTCATACTATTAATATACATACTTCTATACACAAATTTATCTTTTATTTTTATTGAATATGTATGTTGAAATATATATATATTGTATATACATACTGAAATAAATGTCCGTATTTTTTGTTCATTGCATTACTTTTTGTTCTTTCAAATATATACATTGTTTATACATATTAACATCTACATAAGGTAATCAAACAACTGTTCATTCGAAAACAAGAGCGTGCATAAAGAGCAGTACATCAAAATGACGCCAATGATTATTTTTGAATATCTTTATGGTATATAAAATTTGATGGCAACATTCATTTCATTTTAAATGAAATCCGATCGATGCAAGATGTACGAGAAGAGTCAAAGTGCGTCTAAATTTAAAAATTATGCCGATAACGAACATGGCAATGTTTTGCTAAAATCGTATACAACGGGCAATTGCATCTTGGAAAAGAAACGCGGTCTTAAACCTAGTGATCGACATAATCCCATTAAGAAACAATTGCTTTTAGAATTGAGTAAACAAATTTGGCTTAAACATGATGTGAGTTAGTGTATAAATATTTTTGGTATTAAAATTTGGTATATATGTCGTAGTATGCATATCTTATGCATATTCCTGCCAGCCAAAAATGGTGAAAAAACTAGTGAAACATAAATTATTGCGAAGGCTGCGTGACAATTTTCACCAGTTTCCTGTCGCATGTACATTTACGTGTTATCATGCATACCTGTAGCATTAATTCAACAGTGTCATACAAAAAAAATGTGAAAAACGGTTGGGCTCAAGGGCCATCCCTGCAACTTCCCGCTAATTTCATACGTTAACGTTCAAATTTTGCTTTTTTCACTTAAATTCACTTAAAACCCGGTTTGCGGCAAACGATGTGTTTCTTCAAGGTTTAGAACTGATTAGATTTTGGTGGCGTTTGGAAGAAGTTCGAAAAAAACGATTTTTCAAAATTATCTACTGGTCCGACTGGGTCCAAACTTACCCGAAATTCAAGTGCGATGAAACCCTTTGAAATGCCGTTTAGTTTATTCAAATCGGTTGAGTCGTTTAAAAGTTATAAGAGGTTCATATACATCCACACACACACACATACATCCACACATACATACAGACATACGGACATCATCGTAGAAATGTTCGGGGAAGCTTCCTCGACCCTCAGAACGTCGAGATCTGTTGAGAACTCGATTTTTTCAAAGCGGGAAGTTAAAAAATATAGCTGAGGTTCTTAAAATCCCCAAACGCCAGCTGACGCAGAGTTGCATTTACGAATTCCTATTTTAAAATATAATTAAATAAAAATAAATAGCTAGATAATTAGTAATCTTAATAGAGGATTATACTATATTATAATAAAATTAAATAACTATTTTACAAAATAAAATCAACATCAACAATTTAAGTAAAAAGCGTAGAACAAATCTGCAATTAAAAGAAATGATTGAAATTAATGTATATAATAAATTTTATTAAATTTAATATATAAAATTCTCGTATCACGGTGTTTGTGGCCAGACTCCTCCGAATCGGCCGGACCTATTTTGATGAAATTTAGTGTGCTTATCTGGTAAGTCTGAGATTCGGCCATCTATTTTTAGGCCCCTAAATGTTAAGGGTGGTCCACCACAGATTTTGTTATGCCAGGCTATCCCGGCCAGGTGTCTCCCGTTGTCACTTTTGAGCCAGCAAACATTACGGAGTAGGGATGACAACGAAGCCGGGCCCTTTTGCCCACATTCTATACAGTTTTCGTCCGTGTTGTTTATTTGATCTTATTTGTGTCTCGATCGTAGCAGTGACTGTTATACGTATTATTTTATTATACGGTGCAACTCTCAAGTTAATTTTATGCTTAAGGTGGAATTTCATATTATTTCTTAGTGCTAAAAAAATCGATATCACAGACATTGACATTGAGAATCATTGGATGGTACCATATTCACCAAATCATACATATGTATTTGTAAGTATGTTAATAAAGGAAGTGAATTTAGAACTGAAAATCCTAATGTAAACGCTTCTCCAATAAATGAAAATAATTAAATAACGTATAACCAAATTGGCCGGTTTATCATCCCCTGCCTGGAGTGTCTTCGGTTTCCAAATTCGTAAACAGGATCCAGTTATCCATTTTGTTGTCCATCTCGAAAACGGCCAATTAATATTTTCCACTAACGAGATCGTGCTATATTAATTTGGTTCTGTATATACAGTCAATTCAAAGCATACTGAGTAGATTTATGTGCGACTGTTGTTGGTTAATGCCACCGAACCATTGTCATTTCAAGATATACGTAAAGAAATGGACAACAATATCCAACGTATAAAGGATTGCTAGAAGATGATATTCATTGAGACATTATGCTTGCTGCAGCTGCATTAAATTAAAATGTTTCCAGATCCGAGCACAAATGTTGTGAAATAATCATAAAGATTCGATGACTGATGATATATTGCATCGACATCGTACAGGGTACAATGATCTAACGATATCATTCAGTGACGTAATGTACAATGAAGAATTGAATACTATTGAGGATCGTTGCATTGTCATTGCAACTAACAATGATCATGCGCGTTCATATGCTTCAGTTTCATCGGTCGGAACTTTCTCAAAACAACTGTTCCATATTGGCAATAGAAAAGTATCCCTACATAAAAATACTGGATGCATAAAATTACCGCACAATTTCTGCACAATCATCAACTCAAAAAGTTATCTCATCGACAATATAGTACTTCCTAGTGTAAACCTAAAATGTTTAATGACTTGCGGAAAGAGCGATTCTGGCAGCAAAAAATATGGACGTCAATGGATTAAATTCAATGTTACAAATCTATCGATGCCAAGGAAATTGTGAATTATCCAATTGAATTTTTGAATTCATTGGATATGCTGGGTATGGGTTGGATCTCCGGTTATTTTGCTTTATAATTTGACCTCACTACGGCTTTGCAATCGCACAAAATTGGTCATGAAAGATTAATAAAAAACATTATTGAAGTCAAAATTTTGAATGGTAAAGTGTGAATTTCAATTGAAGGCAAATGCTCTCAATTTCCAATTATATTAGCATTAGCAATGATATTCAATAAGTCACAAGTCCAAACGTTTTCTGTTGGTGGTTTTGATTTGGGTACACCATGTTTTCCCCACGGAGAACTTTATGTGGATTTTCTCGCATGGGCAAAACATCCAGTTTATTTGTATTTGCCAAAGACCTACTGATCATATACATATATTGTACATTCCATTACGATGCGAGATTAATCTTTGTTTATTTTTAATGGTCAAAAGTAGTTGTAGAAAAATTAACTATCTTTAATATATAGATAGCTATCAATTATAACTACATCCCCTAAACTCTTAATTCTAAAAAAAAAAAAATTATTTTACAAAATATTTCTTTAAAAACATTTCCTATAAATAACGTACATACTCGTATATAGCAAAACTACGTTTGACGTGTCAGCTAGTATATGGTAAATGTATAAAGTTTAAAATATCAACTTATTTTTATTGAAATTAATATTGAATTGCGAAAAATAATTAACTTTACAATATTTGTTAATTTTTTTTTAACGAGTTAATTTATTTCGACAAAAGTATATTCAAAACAAAAGTAATACTATTTATTTAGTTTTGACTTTGGCAACATCAACTACAGTTCGTATTAAATTAGTTAAAAAAATTATCTTTTTATACAACTATCTCATTGATTGATAGCTCCAACATATGGATGATTACAATATTTTTAAAATTTTTATAAAAATTTAATTGTTATTTTCAAACAGTGTATAGAGAAGAAAATAAATAAAGTATTACTTTTCTTTTGATATACAGCATCAATTGCTATTCATATTAAATTTGTAAAAAAAAAAATTACGTTTCCTACAACTTTGAAAAATTAATAACGTATGGACAATAAATTGTGGAAGCTCTAAAGTATAAACAATGGCTAACGATAAGAATAAAAGAGGAAAAAACGTTTACTTCGGTTGCACCGAAGCTAGATTCTCACAAACCAAAAAGTTTACGTACAATTACTTGTACAAGCACTTGATTTTGATCGGTCAGTTGTTATGGCAGCTATATGCTAGAGTGATCCGATCTGAAATTTTTCGGAGATTGTAGAGTTGCATTGGGCAATGCTTCTAGTGCGTTGCCAGAAGACGACTTATAATAATAAATAATAAAATCTTACTTGAAAAATAGCCTGCTTTAAAATAGCTTGCAAATATCCATTTCCAATCAAGTTTTTCTTGTCTAACTAATCGTTTCGAGTAATTCTGCTTTCATAGTTAATATGTATATTAATTTTATAAATAATAATTCTTTTTTTAATTTCATTCGTTTCATATTTAATGACCACAAACGAAGGAGTCAACGAATGCTCCAAAACATATCGATTTGCTCAAAATCTTCACGCCAGCAGCAGATGCCGATGAAATTGTTCCAAGAAATCGTAAGTACCACCTCAGCTATTTAATCAAAGGTGATACGTTTTTACATACTTATGAACTTATGTTGACTTCAAATTGCTCAAAATACAGGTTGGTTGGTCTCACCAAGAAATAGCACTACTAGCTCCAATTTTTTTTTCTCAATTTGGTACATCTGTCTTGAAAACACATGCAAAGTTACAAATCATTCTTTGTTTACAAGCCATTTGAAGTTGACGTGTCAGAGAATTTTTTTATATGGAAAAAATTTAATATCACGCAGTGATTAGATTCTTTGTTTTAAAAGAAATTTTTAAAAGTGTATTAGCAGTCCTCACCTTCAAAACACACCGTTGAATTTTGGGGTGGTGAATTTCAACGTGGTCGTACTAGGCTTGAAGACGATCCACGCAACCACACCAGAAATCATAGAGCAACTTCATAATATTGTAAGTGAAGATCCAAATTTGACTAAGAGGGAAATTCCTAATGCCATAGGCATCTCAGACGAACGAGTACTTCATATTTTACATGGAGAATGAAAAAGCTGTTTGGAGGGTTAGTGCCGCACACGTTAACAATTCACCAAAAATTGGATCGAAAACAAATTTCTCAGCATAATTTGAAGGGTTTTAAGCAGAATAAAACCAATTTATTGCGTCGTTTTATAACTATAGATGAGTCTTAGATCTACCACCATGATCCTAAATTGAAACAAGAACGTTTAAGGTGGACTGAGGATGGTTGTTCAGCTTCAAAGAAGGTTATGGCACAGTTTTTTTTGAAAGCAAAAGGAATTTTGTTGATTGATTATCTGCAGAAAGGTAAAACAATCAACAATTGCAGCCTTTTGGATCAGCTGGATAAAAAAATTCGTGAGAAAAGACCTGGTTTGCAGCACAAAAAATAATTTTTCACTAAGACAGTGCACCTGCTCACAAAGGTGTTTTAACAATGCCGAAATTCAACGAATTAAAGTACGAATTGCTTGAGCAGCCACCGTATTCCCAGCGACTACTACATCTTCAGAAACCTGAAACAATTCTACCGTGGAAAGAGTTTTTCGTTGAATTAAGAAGCTGTTACAGCCGTAGACGGGTATTTTGCAGAGCATTCGGAAAGTCATTATAGGGATGGCATAAAATAATTGGAGGATCACTAAAATAAGTGTATTGAAGTTAAGGGAGATTATATTGAATAGAAAAATATATTTCGTATACAGTGTTTTTTCATTTCGAGCGCAGAAACTTTTCAACCAACCTGTACAGTATAATACTAATATTATATTATTATATATTGCATGTTTCGCTTTTGGGAACAAATAAAAAAAATAGTAAAGCCTATAAAATTTTGTTTACTTATTTTGTATTTAATGTAGTACAAATTAGCGAAAAAAATCATGAAAATATGGGCATGTAAGAAGAGAAAACAGAAAACAAAAGATATTCATACTCGTATTTGTCTGACGTTCTTTAAGCTCAGTAAAAATTAAACGTGACAAATAACCTCGGTAAAGCTTACAATAGCATTTTCGACTTCGCGCTTTAATTTCCTCATTATTTTTGAATATTAATAAAAATTTCATTTACTATTTGATGTAAACATATCGATACTTCAAATAATAATATAAACTTTATAATTTACTTAATGTAATGATAACAAAAGCAATAAGATAACAATTAACGGTAAATTTGCCTTTTTTTCGTTTGTTATTTTTCGCTAATTTATGGTACATTAAATATGGAGTAAGACAAAAAAATGTTTCATTTGCTTCACTGTTTTTTTTTATTCGTTCTTAAATGCAATATGAAATATGTATTTACTTTTCCTTTCCACTCTATATGCTAATATTTAAAAAAATAACTGATGCTACTTTATCTTACTAGTAGTGTTTTTATATTTCCATGTTACATATTACTCACAAAAGTCACATGCCAATTGACATTCATACCACATAGGCATCTCTATATATTTGTAAACATTTTTAGAATACAATTCAACCAATAGTTGTTAATATCTTGATTAATGAGAATGTTAATTCCCATTAATGAAACAAATACATTATCAAACCCTCGAAAAACGCTGCACATAGTATAATAAAATTGTTTATTTAACAGTTGTTTCAAATACATAATACTATTGAAAATATTTAAAATAACAACACAAATTGATATCTGTCTGCTCATACGTTCATTCATCTGTCAGTGCAAGTAATAGTTTGAAAAATAATTAGAAATATCAGACGAATAATTGGAAAACCATACAATGCCTTGACTCAGTCACCAATTAAGCTACAAAATTCGAATTAAGTACAGATCACAATAGCGTTAGGGCTATATGCGGTTACACAACCCGAAAACTACTAAAGACATGTCAACCAAGCTCGTTGAGATCTTTCGTTTTTCCATTGTAAACTACTCATTGTAATCGAATAAAAGAAGTATTCAAGAAATAACGAGAATTTTGGTTTTTTGAAAAAAATATTTTTTCATCCGTCTACATTAATATCGACGCTTATAAAATAGTTCTCATTCGTTTATGTGCAATTATACCAGCGCTTCTTCCAATTGCCGAAACACTTCTCAAACTCGATTTTCGGGATAACCCTTAGCTCTTTTAGCGATTTTCATCTATGTTGTAAAACGACGGCCTTTTATGGCTTCTTTCGCTTTATTTTTGGAAATGGGAAAAATTCACACGGATCCATGCTTGCGATTATGGAGGTTGGGGTATCATTAAAGTATAGGTTTTGGCCAATAATTCACGAACAAGGAACGAAGTGTGAGATTTTAACAAACGAAAATAGCTAATATCATCAAAACACGTCTAAGGTTAGACTGCTACAGACAAAGAAAGTAATGAATACATTTTAAATTTTTAAACTTCCATTATTTTCTGAACATACCTCGTAGGTGATAACCATTCTTAAATACAAGTATAGTATTAGGGCCAAGACCACAAAATACGTGATCGTTTTTAACACGCTTATTTAGTTTCACTTGTATGTCTGTTTGTAACTAAAAAACTAAACTCAACACGATTACAAAGTATGCGCAAAATGTTTGCATACTTTTTAACACTCTTTTTATTAGCTTCATTTCTATGTGTGTCTGTCTGTTTGTAATCAAACTAAACCCAACACGACTGCCAAGTATGCGCAAAATATTTGCATACTTTTAGGCATATTTTGGTATCCCAAAGGGAACAAATCAACTGAACGGACAACAAAAATTATAATATTTAGGATACAAATTTTTAATGGCAGATCAAAATATGGAATTTAATAAAAAATAAAAAAGAATTGAATAAATGATTTAGTTAGTAGAAAGTTAGAAAGTTTGTATTGCTTAAAATATTTTTATTATCTTACAAGAGACTTAGACTATTCAGGAATTTTTATTATTGAAACTATAGTTTTATGGTAACTGAAATAAGATGCATAAGTTTAAAACTTGACATCCTCTAAATATCTGGAAAATACCGCGTGAATGGTGTTTCCATATTTTGTAGTGGATTCTTGTGGACCAATATTCATTTTCAAATTCAATCTTTCCGAAAGAAAATTTGTCAACCGCTCTGACTTTTTATCAGCGAAGTTGATGTTGAAAACGCCACCGAAGATGCGTGGAAATTTGTTACCACTGATAATCCGATTGAAATACCTAATTTCAATCGTATTGTTCAATTCAAACCAGATACTATTCCAAAAGGTGGGGTATCTATTTACGAAATAATAACGTTACTAATATTATGAATCCGAATATTGAATAATTTTTTTTTATTAAATTCCATATTTTGGTATGCCGTTAAAAATTTTTATCTAAAATATTATTATTTTTGTTCTGTCCGTTCAGTTGATTTGTTCCCTTTGAGATGCCAAAATATGCCTAAAAGTATGCAAATATTTTGCGCATACTTTGTAGTCGTGTTGGGCTTAGTTTGGTTAGCCCGCGATGAAAGCTATTAAATAGTTTAAAGAAAATTGGTTTGAGAGAATCATAACATGAAAATAAAAATTGTAATGCAAAATACTTTGTTTTCAATATTTATTGAAAGTAAGATAAGTGTTGCGATGGCTATCGAACAACTATCACTTAATATACAATAAATATAGTTATATCGAACTAAAAAGTTGAAAATAATTTTAAAAATTAACTTAAAAATAGTATATAAAATACTAGTATATTGAGGAAAAGCTTTATTACTGTAAGAATAAAACGCAGAAATAACAAAGTGTATGCCTAATGGGAAGAACAAAGCGGTACGTTACGATGCAGGGATACGGAGTCCCGTATCGGCGTCTGGTCAGGTGAGAAAGCAGGCTCGCAGCGTCATCAAACGACTCAAGCTCTTCAGTAGTAGCAACTGGCTACTGAGAAGTATAATTTACACGGAAGAATCGAAGATCGTTGTCTGTTAAGACAACAAAATTTCAGAGAAAGCAAGCTAAGCCAGTTAAAAGGACTGCAGAGCTCTCAAGCGAGAAATTGAAGAGATGAAGGAGAAAGAAGGATCTATATGAGAGTTATAGAGCCAGGAGTCAAGGAGGCTAAATTGGCTCGTTTACAGCATGTGCTCGGCACTGGCTGATAAACTAACCTCAGAATCTGTTTCAACTGAGAGCTCGTTTGCGCGGAGCGAAGTATAAGCTAAAACGCACCTCAGAACCTGTTCGGACTAAGAGGGCTCGTTTGCGACAATGAACATCGAAACGCTGAGTCCAGAAGACTAAGTAGAGCCAGTGTGACTGGCTTTATGGAGACAATTGACACATTTTGTGATAAGATATGTGAAATTTTAAACAGTGCTATAAACATCAAATCTCTAACTGGATTGTGATACTAAAACGGCGCCTTATCTGCCGGACGAATTAACACAAAATAATTGCTTGATTGTTTAACCGTTAAGAGTCATTTGACTTCAAAGAAGTGGTAGCCGTCGAAATCTTACTGGAACAATTTAGATCCGGTACTTTCCGAAGTAATTGTAGAGTTAACTCAAACTGAACAAAGGCTAATTTCAC